AATTTTTTCTCCTCATTTTCGTGAGACGAGAGGAGCTTCAAGAGTAAATTATAAATTAGTTCCTCTTTCATAGGAAAACGAATTAATTAGTTTATTTGATTTCAAGAACTAATTTTTGTCATTCTAACTTTTTTTTTTAATTCTTTTTACTTTTTGTTTTAAAAAATAAAAATAGATAAAAATATGAAAAAGATCGATGAGAAAAGAAGATATTTTTAAAAATTAAAAATAAATTAGTATGGCTAAAAAGATTAAATAATTATTCTTTGAAATCAAAAGGATTAATTAATTCATTTCCCAAAACAAAAAGGATTGATTTATAATTTATCTATCACTATATTCACATCTAATGCATGAAGTAAATATACCTATATGATATGTTTTTATATTTTAAAATAAAGAAATATTTTAGATTGTATTACTATCATTATTTAAAATTATTTCTTCAATTTGTCATTTCTTATTAAGATTTTCATCAAATTAATTTTGATTTTGTTTAAATATTATTTATAGATAAACATCATTTATTGTTCCCTATGTATGAATTTTTAAATAAAATTTTACAACTTAATTATTTACACAAAAAAATTATTTAACAATTATGACGAGACTCTTAGAATTTTTAAATGATAATAGCATATATATGTGTGTGTGTGTGTGTGTGTGTGTGTGTGTGTGTATGTGTGTGTGTGTGTGTATTAGAGAATTTGTATTAGATTTTTTGAAAAAATAATTTACAAAATAAACTTTTAATTATAAATCCATGAAGTTTTAGATTTTGTAGATTATCACTAGTCTTGAGTTAAGAATCGAATAAATAAAACTAAATCATGTTTTCTTTGGTAGAAAATTTTTGAAAAATAAAACAAATAATTAGTCAAATGCAAATTTTTAATAAAAAATAATTATTATATTTTGGTGGATACATAGTAAAACGTAAATTTTCAAACTAAAATAATTTTGCATATTTTTTTCGATCTGCAGATGTAGCATAGGAGAAAAACTAGTAATACTCTAAAAAAGATGGGGTTATGACTATTCATAACCCTACTCATTTTTTTTCCAAGTTGTTGTGAATACATGACTTTTTCTTTCTTTCTTTTTTCCATTTGTTTTTTTCCATCAATTTAGGTTCTTTTTTTTATTATTTTTTTTAGATTGTTTCATTTTAGTCTCTAGAATTTTAAAATAAAAATTTTAATCCCCTCACCGATGCACTACTCATGCCTTCTTTTTTTATTTGCTTTTTTCATCAATTTATGTTCTTTTTTTATTTAATTAGGTGTTAAAAATTTAAAAAATCAATCGTTACTTTTTTTCATAGAAACTTACGATTATGTATCATATATAATATTTTTTTATATTTATACAGTATGTTTTTAAATTTTATTATGATAGTTTTTTTCAAGTTGTTTCACTTTACATGCCTTTTTTTTTCCTTCACTTTTTTCCATCAATTTAGGCTTTCTTTTTTTTCTTAATTTTCGGGTAGTTTCATTTTGGTCTCTAAAATTTTAAAATAAAAATTTTAATCCTCTAACCGATGCACTCTGCTCAACCTTTTCTTTTACTTTGCTTTTTTTTTTTTTTTATCAATTTATGTTCTTTTTTTTTAAAATTAATTAGATGTTAAAATTTGGAAAAATCAATCATTATTTTTTTCACATAAACCGACAATTATATGACACTACTCATGCCTTTTTTTTCTTTGCTTTTTTTATCAATTTATTTTTTATTTAATTAGATGTTAAAATTTTAAAAAATCAATTATTATTTTTTCCACACAAACCGATGATTATATAATATATATAATATTTTTTACATTTATACGATATGTTTTTAGATTTTAGAATAAATATAAATTACTCTTATTTTTTAAAATTGATTTTTTCATAAAAAACCTCATCAAGTTAATTTTTTATAATTTTATAATTTATACGATATGTTTGAAATTGGAGTATGAATAGAATTCCTAATTGGATTAGGATTCCTATTCAGTTAAGATTCCTAGTAAGAATGGGATACATTTTGGATTATAGCATTTAATTACACTAGTGGGTTGGTTCAATTAAGACATATAAAATGAGCTTAATAAACTCCAAGTCCAAGGTTATTGGATATTAATTTGTCAAAATAATCATCCTATATTTTCTCTAAGTATGGATCTGAATAAGGTTTTTTTTTTTTTTTTAATACCTATTTTTGTTAGTTTAATTGTTATACAATCAAATTTTAAAAATTGAATATATGTATTTTGTTTTCTTATTTTTTACATAATCAAATTTTATCAAATTAGTTTTATAGTTTTTACTGCACTCTATTAACTTTAATATATATTTTATCATTTATTTTTTAACATATTTTTTAGATTATTTTATACATTCTCACCTATTGAGTATTTTCATTATGTATAAAAAATAATAATATTATAGTTATTGATTTTATTAGAAATCAACTAGATATCTACACACACAATACTAACTATTTGTTATTATTTTTTTAATATTTAAAATGATTTCTTCAAATAAAATAATTGAAATAATATTTTAGAATAACTCGCCTAAACTTTGTACACTAATATTATTCATTTTATATATATATATTTTAAAAAATAATCTTCCAATTACTAAAAAAGTTTCATTTGTTAATATTCATACAAATTTTTATATTAATTATTTTTTTATTTCTTCGATGTAATGTAATGAAAAAAATATTATGTTTTTTAAAAAAATTTGTATTAATTTTTTTTATTATGACTTTTATTTAAGAATAAATGCACAAGAAATAACAAATCATAAATTTTTTACTTAAAAATTTATTGGACACATAATACACATACACATACATACAAAATTTTGATTAAAAATTATAAAATTAGATGAAATTTTACTCTTCTCTATCCAAGCTTTTAAATTTTTGTTGAAAGCCTCGTAAGCGAGAATGAATAGAGCTGGGGAGAGAGGGTCACCTTACCTTACCACTTGTAAGCTTTGAAGAAGCCATGTGCTTTAGAGCTTTGGTGGATTGTGTACCAGTAGTTACTGATGCACGATTGAAAAACCAGACCTCTTCAACACCTGCAGCAGAAATGGCCATTCTAGCCTGTCATAAGCCTTAGACATATCCATCTTCAATATCACATTACTGTCGTGAGATTTCCTATCAATATCATTGAAGAGCTCTTGAGTTAAGGCCACATTTTCCTGAATTAGCCTCCCCTTCACAAAGCCCGACTGCTCTTTAGAAATAAGATGAGGGAGGACATGAGATAATCTATTGGAGATAATTTTTTATAGAATTTTGTAGGAGAAATTGTAAAGACTAATTGGCCTTAGGTCTGAAAATTTTATAGGCTTTGAACATTTTGGTATAAGAATCAGAGAAGTTGTTATAGTATCCTTAGGTAGAATTCTTCCACGAAATATGTCCTAAACTGCCTCCACCACATCTTTAGCAATAATATCCCAACAATTTCTATAGAAAACTCTTGTGAAACCATTAGGACCTGGAGTGCTTTGGTCTTCCAGTTTAAAGGCAACAAGCCTTATTCCTCCTCATCAAAAGTTTTTATCATATCTTTATTCTGCTTGAGAGTGACTAAGGTGGGTATCTCTTTCATAAAGCTAGGTTCCATGTATATGTTTTCACTCTTGAAAACATTCTGGAAATAATCTACAACAGCTACACCCACTTGGTTCTCATTAGTGCATATACTCCCATCTACCATTGTGAGATTAAATTTGGCTTTTGCAGCCCTACTTCTGATACATGCGTGAAAGAAGGTCGTGTTATGATCAATAGTTTTTGTCCATTTTATCCTAACTTTTTCTTAAAGAAGCATCTCCTCTTGATCAATCAATAATGCCAAATTCGCTTTGGCTTCACAATCAGCACTATAGTTTTCTTACGTCCATCTCTGCTGTAATATTACCTCTGTACGAATTACATTGTCTCTAGCTTGGTTCAGCTTCTGATTTAGATTCTAAAATACATTCCAGTTCCACGATTTCAAGGCTCATCTCAATGCTTTAAGCTTGAGCTATAAGTTGAGGAATGGATTGTCATTATATGTGTTATTCCAGTTTGCCTGTACAAAAGGTAGGTAATTTTCAGGCATTGTCCACATCTTCTTAAGTGAAAATCAACCAGGTTTAAGGTATTTGGCCATCATAGAGAGAAGCAGTGCATAGTGATCTGAGTATAGCCGAGAGAGATAAGAACAGTTCAATCTTGGCAGAGTAGCCAAGGCCTCTGAATCTGCTAACACCCGATCCAATCTTTTCCAAATTCTCCTTACCTCATCCTGATTATTGCACAATGTGAATTTACTTCTTGAGAATCCCATATCCTGTAAACCTACTACTTGTATCGCGCTATTAAATTCATACATTGATCCCATGTCTGGTTGAGTTCCTCCCATTTTTCTACAGCTATTGCTATACCATTGAAGTCACTAACCATAACCCATGGATCATTGAGATAAAGTCCCTGTAAACTATCCCATAAGCCTCTTCTTTCAAACCTATCACAATTAGCGTACACAACAGTAAAAGCCATCTCCTTATAGGAATTGAGATCCTTTATTTGAAATGTAATAGATTACATGAATATACTAATCATATCTACTGAACTATACTCCTTCCATAATATCCATATATGCTTGTTTATTAGATTAACATGTAAGTACCCCAAGAATTGTAATGATCTAGCAAAAACAAGAAGTTTATCCCCCATTCTCGTAGGTTCTAAAATCACAAGAAGAGTTACCTGATGATGATGAATAAGTCTTCTTAGGTATCTTTTTTTTTCTAGGGCTCCTATCCCCCTCATATTCCAGATGAAGTTATTCAGTGGATAAGGAGAAGAACAGCTCCCCTTTGTGATCTTTTTTAGATCTAATAACTCTGCTGCCACTGAGTTTCACCATATTTTTCAGTACCTTCTTTTTTGGTTTTCTTGAGATCGATTTACCCTGTGCATTTATCACCTGCATCCCACTTCTAAATCTGTCTATAACCCTTTGTAACCCATGATAGATTATCATCTATATCCTTACTCCCTTTTGACGCTGCATGAGGAGATAAATCAGGCTCTATATGCTCTATTAATATACCATCATTCATGCTATGGTACTTAATCATATTCAAGCATTCGAATGCATTGATGGTATTGATCTTCTCCTTTGGGGTTGCTTCTGCTAAGGGAAGAGTCTCTATAGTGTCATTTCTGCAAGCATTTTCTAGAACAGCTGTAGTAACCCAATTATCATCCATTATTTCTATGGTCGATTGCCCACTGCCTACCACTGTGGAATTTTTATTTTCCGTCCTTCTTTTTTCCTTTATCAACTGAGTTTGGGATTTATGTGTCACTGCCATGTCTACTAGCGGTGACTGAATCAATTCTGTCTGCATGAAATCATGTTCCACATGCTCTACCATAATTTCATTTCCTTTATTGGCAATGCGATGTGACGTCGTAGAAACCTGTTGATTTTTTATAGTATCATCTATCCCTACAATATTATTGTTGGACTTTTGTTTCTAGATAGCTTGTCATGCTCGCTTCTACTGGGGTTCCGTGGGAGGGACTGCGTTAGTAGCCGATTGCATTTGTTGAGATTTTTGGCTAGCCAAAGGAACGAGTTTCCTGCATATAGCCTTTGCATGCCCCTGTAGCTTGCAATCTCCACAATATGCATTATTAGACTCCACTAAGATTTGTTGCCAGAATCCATTCGTCTTCTATAAAAACCCTAGCATACATGGGATGGGAACCATTCTTGGTTTTATAATCAGCACATAAAAAACTACAGAAAGGCCTTACTATTTCCTGAAGGAAGGCTGCTGGAAAGAAAGATAGGGGAAGGCTTGGTAGTCTAACCCAAATCGCTGCCTTTGATGTTTCATAATTGGTTCTGAAATTCTCGTCCCACTTAAACAATCGGAAGCTAAAGCTTTCAATGGTATGATATTCGCAGGACCATGCCTTAGATAAAGTCCTCTTTTGAGTGTAGCCATATTAGTACATGCCTTGGATCTATTAATCCAATCATCGGTGTAGTCTGCATTCCCGTTCATTTTAATAATGTAAGTAGATTTAAGAATTAGTACTGTTAAAGGTATGATTGATTAGTTTTTTTTTTTTTTTTTTTCAAAAAAACGTTTTTGGGCTCCGATTTATCCAAATCTATGCTATTTTTCCTAAGAATGTTATATAGCTAATTAGCTAGGATAAATTGCCATTATTCGTTCTTTTTTTCATTCACAATTTTTTTTTTTTGGTTCGTTAATTAAGTCAATTTGGAATACTAAATGATTTCATTATGGATATATAACGACTAATTTTCTTTAGCATTCTTTTTATTTCGATCTTTCACCTCCTTATTTCTTTTCAATTGTACCCTCAATTGAACTTTCTCAGTCCTTTTTCTTTTACGTCTTTCAATTCAATCAATTTCATCTTCAATTAAAATCATTTGCTTCTTATCTTTTTCAATTACACCCCCCTCCCCCTCGATGTAGCTTCTCTTTAGTTAATGACCAATTTTCTTGCATTCAAACTTACTCAAATATCAAAATAAAGAATATATTCATTATAATATTCAAGGTATCTGACTAACCACCTGAGAAAAAAAAGGTAGGAACAGACCTGAATTGAGTTTAGTTGATTTTTCAAACCCATTATTGCACAAACCCACTCTACCTGGGCTGCCTACTCGTATAAACCCATTAACGGTGTTAATGGTCTTACTACTATGGGTTTGAATTGGTTTTAATTCTACCTGGGCTGCCTACTCGTATAAACCCATTAACGGTGTTAATGGTCTTACTACTATGGGTTTGAATTGGTTTTAATTTTAAAGGCTTCTAGCATAAAGGAAAAGGGAATAAGCATGAGAAGTTGGACTTGAGGACGGCAGTGTAGAAAACAAGAGAATTTGTGCACAGCAGTATAAAAGGAGAATGCGCATGGATTTGGGGCGGGAGGGGGGGGGAAGGCAGTGAGGATTTTTTGCAGCAAAGAGCAAATAAATCATAGGTCGCCAGAGAGCAAACCAAGAGCGGCAACTAGAAAAAAAAAAAATCTATAGAAGGATACAGATTCATTAGATAAGTAATTAATTTTCTTTAATTATTACTTTGATGGATTGTCGATGTGATATTTTATTTTCAGATCCAATAAATTTCTTGATGGAAAAATAAACTATTAAGTTAGAGATGGAGGATTTTAATTCTTATTCTATGTGATTAATTATTTTTCTCAACTCAAAACCCGATTCTTGATGTATGATGAATTTATATTGCTGCATTTAATGCTTTAAGAGAGCGATCACCTTTTATTGATTTTAATGACATGTGCTTGAGCCCGAGAGGGAATTGTATGTGTTAGATCAAAACAATATAAATCACTAGTTTACTATTAATCGAAAGACAATTAGTTCTAGTGCGATAATGGAAAAGAGAAGTGCGTGATGGCATGCTTATTTTACATTAGAGGATTTCATTAATTGTAATGCATTTAGATCTTAATTTAAGTCACATAGAAATATGGATGATTTGTTAGGTGAAGAATAGGGTTAATCCGACTAGAGATAGCTTATTAACTTGTTCGTAAAATTACGTCGTCAAATAAATTAAGATAGACCTTAAAGTAGTTTGTGAGTTGAGTTAATATAGTTAATTGCATAAGTGAGAATTAGATGAATCCATCCCTAGCTACTTTCATATCATCTTATTAGTAATTTTCAATCCAACAACTTTAGAATAGAGTTTTAATTTAATTCTTTTAATTCTTTTGATTAATTCAACTTATTTTAAGTTAGATAATTTTATTAGTGCAATTTAATTGCTCGTGGGAACGATACTTTCTTACCCTTTATTGCATGATTAGATTGGATTTATTGCAAACATGAATATTGTCGAACCGACAACAAATAAGTCATTCACATATTCACTACCCATTTTAACAAGCATCCCAAAAAGAACATCGGCATTCTTAAAATCTCCTACGCTCGAAAAAGCAAGAAAAATGTTGACAAAACCGATCGGAATAAGTTTTATCCCCGTTTTCATCATTATACTAAATAGCTTAATTGCTTCTACATGTCTTTCTACCTTTACATACCAAGAAACCACATTATTCCAAGCAACAACATCTCTTTTTCTCATCGCATCAAAAACTTTATGCACTAAATCATACTTAGAGTAATCAAAATAACTCACATTGCTTATACAACTAGCGTACATATTCAAAAGGGAATTATACACAATTCTACTAGGATTTGATAAACATCAAATAAGATGGCAATGATTGGCTTTACCAATCTTTAAACTGCGCGTTTCCGCACAAGCTTTGAATGTAGAAGAGTAAGTATATGAATCAAATTTGGTTCCAAGACTGGAACTTTTTAGCTTGGAATAGAATAAAATGGCTTCAAAAGGCAAGTTATTGCAAATGAAGCCAATTATGATGGAGTTACAAATGATCATTGTTGGGGCGGGAAGTGTGTCAAATAGTTGGCGTGCGAGATGGAGTTGCCCTTCTTGACGAAGTTTGCTTAAGCGAGAGCGAATTGATGGGGTTTTAAGAGATGGGCTTGGTGGTGGTGAGATTTTAAAGATGGAAACTTTATTGGGTTTTATTGGATGGCTCATGGGAATGTGTGGAGAGAGGGATTGGAAGTGACGATGAAGAAGTGGAGGCCATGGCCATGGATTTTTGTGTTTGGTTGTTATAGTGTTAGTTTTCTGATTGGTAGTTGAATAATTACCAATTAGGAGATTTTCATCTTTCAAGGATTATGATGTCGAGTTGCATTGGGAGAGAAAAATAATAACCCCGGTATTGGTTTTTCTATTTACTCGTTTGTTTGTAGTAGTTGTATTTGAAGTGCATAAAATTAATAAAAGGGATGATTTAGCAAAATGAGAAAATTAGTGATATAGATATAAAAAGAAAAAGTTAGAGAGAGATAAGAAAAGAAGAAAAAGAAGAATAGACTAATACAAAAAAAAAATAGTAAAAAAAAAAAAAGAGACTGACATGTAATGATAAAAAATTTATTTAACAAAATAATTTTTTAAAAAAACTCGAAATGCCAAGTTATATAAATGAGATGGTTCCTATATGGCATAAAGTACCTTATTTTGGTAAATAAGTTTAAAACTACCTTATTATGATAAATAAGATTTAAAAATGCCTTGTTATGAAAAAAAAAAATCCTATTGGGTGGGTCATTATGATGGGAGTGGGTAATAATATTAACTTAAATGAAAAGAAAATTGATAATAATGATTGAAGTAGTGTAAAAACTATTTAATTGTTTAAGACAAATTGTAATTTAGTTGACATTGAAACTACAAGAGATTATTTCTACGAAATTGATTAACTCAAAATGTAAATAATTGGTTGAGGATCAAATCTAAAGAACTCAAATAATTGAGGATCAATTATATCTAGGCCACCATCTATAATAATTATTTATTTTCTTATTTACTTTTCTATAATTAGGTATCTTATATTCCTAAAGGATTCTCTTGTATTTAGGATTCCTTATTAGCATAGTCTCAAAGTCAATTTCTTGTTTGGATTTGATTTAACTATGTTAAAGAATTTATATTATTGGTTGGATATATCTCCTAAAATATAGTGATATGCGACCATTTTGGTGTGTTCCCTTATTGAGACAAGAGCCGGCCATAACAAGCTCTGCTGCACTTCGGAGATAAACTCTGCCGCACTTCGGAGATAAACTCTGCTGCAGACATTAGAGTTTGTTACTTACAAGAACTCTACTTGCAGAGTTTGTTAATTGCTTGTACTCTTTAATTCTTATCCATTGTATTGTCTAGAATTCTAGTTAAACTATACTTGTACATATATATATAAAGGATATGTTAAAGTCCTAATGAAACAAGACTGAAAAATTACTCTTCAAACAAGTAGCATAAGAATTAATTTGCTATCGAGCCTCCTTAGCTAATAGCTGACCATGCTCGCCTCCTCCCTCTAAAAAAAAAATTATATCTCTACCGCCCAAATCACATCCTTCACTATTGCAAATCACTACATCCTTCAAACCTTTCACTTCGCCGCAAATCACGTCCTTCACTACTAGAAATTAAGTCCCTTCCAATCATTGACACGTATGCCCAAATCACGTACAAAATATCACGTACTTCCCAAATCACGTACTCCCCAAATCAGCTCGCACCAAATGACTTCCTCTACCAACACCATCTCTCCAACTAACGAAGAATCGGTCGTCTTCTCTCCTTGATTGACTTCAATCTCTACATCTTTAAAGGCCTCTCTAGTGACTTCAAGGACATTATCACTACTCTCTCCACACGTCTTAAACCAAGTAACATTCACCGACCTCTATAGCTTCTTGGTTAGCCATGAATTTCTCCACCTTGATTCGGATTCGGTGTCATCACCACAACATGGCCTACCGCCCACACCTATCGCTCCTCTATTATCCATACCTCCTACAGCTCACATGGCGACTAGGGGCTCGGGTTATCGATCCTAAGGAGACCGTTACTTGAACTCCAATAGAAATCGTGATAGACAATCTAGAGGAAGGGGACGTGGTCGCTCCAACAACGGTATGGAAACACCTCTTTTCGGTCCGAAAACCGTGGCTACTCGGAACAACCAAGATAGTCGCACCAAATGCCGGATCCGTCATGCCCGGAGCCACACAGCCTATCCACCGCCTATAACGCCACTTCGACCAACAACATCCCATCGCAAATATCGCGGCTTCCTCCACTCCATAGCCGTGCTCATATACATGGTGTCCGGATACCAATGCCTCACATCATGTGACTCTTAACTTGGCTAGCTTAAGCATATATGAACCATACATGGGTAAGGATCAACTTCAAGTTGAAAAAGGTGAGTTTTTACCCATTTTGCACATTGGTTTAAGTCATATTAAAACTCCCGCTAGATCTCTTAAATTGCTTAATGTGTTACATGTTCCACAAATAACCCGACCCCTATTATCCGTGAAATGCCTTGCTAAAGACAATAACTTATTTTGGGAATTTCACCTCTCCATGTTAAGGACCGTGTACACAAGACCAAACTTCTTTCGAGCGGGAGTGATGCCGATCTCTACTCCCTTCATGCTTCATATCCCACCTCCGAGTCTTAAAGCATTCTCAAGCAAAAGTCTCCGTACCGGTTCGACACTCCGTAATGGGTCATCCCCACCATCGAGTACTCAATTTTCTTTTACATAAGTACTCCTTATCAAAACCTTTAAAGTGCTATTTGGTAATCGGGAATAGAGTGATGGGAATAGGAATGGAACTTTTATTCCCACATTGTAGTTGTTTGGTTAAAAGGAATGAAGTAGGAATGGGAATGAAGAGTGGGAATGGGAATGAAAATTTACACACAACTTCATTCCCACATAATACGTGGGAATAAAAAACAAGGAGTGGGAATGAATTTTTTTTCAAAATAATAATATATTTTATTTATTTATTATCTATTAACTACTTTTACCACCATCACCATCACCATAAATACCACCATCACCACTATTACAATAACTACAACCACCACCACCACCACCACCACCACCATCATCTTCATTAGTACCATCACAATAACCACCACTCGCTATTACCACCACCACAACCACCACCACCATTGCAACCATCACAACCACCATCACTACCACTATCATAACTACCATCACTAATAGCATCATCACAACCACCACCACAACTACCACCATCATTTCACAATCATAACCACCACTACCACTACCACTCCGCAATCATTACCGCCACTACCACCACTACTAGAACCACCACTATCATAACCACAATCACTTTTATTATTTTTACAACCATATAGTTTAATAAAATTATTTTTTTAATCATTATTTTTATTTGTATAAAAATTAGATATTAAAAAATTTAAATTGCATTCCGATTCCTTATTAGTATTCCAAACACCGTATTGGAATACAAATACTATTCCGATTCCTTAATTTTCATTCCGATTCCTACATTTTCATTCCCATCACTCTATTTCGATTATCAAAAAGCACCTAAATTTATCAAGTCAATGCTTGTTATGTCCATTAGGAAAATCTAATCATCTATCTTTGCCTTTATCAAACAATCCAAGCACGAGTATGTTAAATTTAATTTTCAGTGATGTTTGGGGTCCCTCTCCTACTACTTCGTTGATGGTTTTAAATATTATATTATCTTTGTTGATCACTTCTCTAAATATATATGGTTCTACCCCTTACGTAAAAAATCAAATGTTTATAATGTTTCATTCAATACCAAAATCCGATTGAACGTCGGCTTAATTGTAATATCAAACAAGTCCAAACCAATTGGGGTGGAGAATTTTGAGGACTACATAAATTCTTCCAAAATATAGGAATCGCCCACCGCATTATGTGCCCTCACACACATGAGCAAAACGGTATCGTAGAGAGATGACATCGTCATATTGTGAAAACGAGCCTCACCCTCTTAGCAGAGGCCCATGTTCCCAAACAATATTGGACATACGCTTTTGACACAGCTTGTTTTCTTATTTAACAGAATGCCCTCTCCTATCATCAAATATACATCACCATTTGAACTCGTGTTTAAGAAAAGCCCGGATTATTCATTTCTAAAAATTTTTTGTTGTCTCTATTTTTCATGTTTAAGACATTATAACAAACATAAAATTGATTTTCGATCGACACCTTGCATTGTCTTAGGATATAGCCCATCACATATGGACTATCGTTATTTTGACAAAACCAAAAATTGCCTTTACATTGTTTGTCATGTCCGGTTTGTTGAGTTGATATTTTCGTTTTCACAAATTCACTCATCTATCACAAACATAAGTTCATCCACTCGTTTCACTCCCGTGGCTTAGTGCCCCACACCGACCACCTCCATTACTCCAACCCGATCGGCATCACTCCACTACCCTCGCTAGGTAATCCACTTCAAAACCCACATTCACAAATCCCCATGGCTAGCCCCCAAACACCACACAACGACATGGATAAATCACTACCCCACCAATCCGTGACAACCTAAACTCAAAACCAAACCGCACCTCACCCTTCCATTATCCCAAACTCCAATAGCCCAAATTGCCACTCCTAAAATCCAAGCTGCACCTCCACCACACCGGTATAAATTTACGAGTAGATTTAGCAAGTATGACTCGACTAACTAGTGTTCGGGTAGTATTACAAATTCATCATCCAAAGGGAGCCGAAACGAACCCATCCTATGGTTCTACGGAATATGGGTCCAAAAGCCTCTCTTGCAGTATCTTCTCCAAGCAATCCCGCAGAGTCCCACTCGCTATACTGAAGTTAAAAACCATGCGGCATGAAGAATGGCTATGGAGTCAAAGATTAATGCCCTCCCGAAAACCAAGCACTTGGTCTCTAGTCCCCCTACACGAGCCATGAACATTATAGGGAACAAGTGGGTCTTCAAAACCAAAAAACATAGAGATGGCAAGCATAGAAAGGTACAAGGCAAGGTTAGTTGCCAAAAGGTTTCACTAATAGGAGAGGATTGATTTTGGGGAAACTTTTAGTCCAAGTGGTCAAGCCCGCAACTATCGAGTTGCTTTGTCCTTAGTAGTCTCATACAATTGG